CAACGCTACTACTTGTCTGTGTTCATCCTTGTCATTTTTTTGTTGTGCATCTGTAAGAGGAAAGTTTTTAATGAAGAGGACAAGTGTAGGTCTCAGTAAGTCTGTCCCTTAGCTGGCCCAGGGACAAATTTTGTCTCTGATCAAAACTTTATGAGAACTTTTCTCAGATGTGTCTTATTTTGTCTTTAAGAGTGTGGTTCAGGACAATCTTTCTGGACCCTCTGTCTGCTGGGAACTGTAAATTCATCAGGGTTACAGTTGGAAAAGGTCTAGCTATGAGGCTGGGGAGTCCTGAGCCACAGGATACACAAGCAACTGTCAGCTCACCATTCGCAGACTCTCATGGGTCTGTCTCAGTATCAACCTGTCTATGGCTTCCTCAGGCCAGACTTCTGCTTCTTGCGTGTATTTATGCTGCCACCCAAATGTGTACACTTACTTGTCTAGATAGCATCATCATTTCCCCAAAGATAATTTAGAATTGCAGTAGCCACTATGAGGAATTTCTGATATGAACAAAAGTATTCACTTTAGATTGCAAAGTGAACACAATTCTAAACATCCAATGGTCTTCATTTTTTTCATTAGCATGAGCAAGCATACAAAAGAAATAGGATTCCAAATTTTTTTTTTTTTTTTTTTTTTGAGATAGGCTCTCTGTCACCCAGGCTGGAGTGCAGTGGCACGATCTCAGCTCACTGCAACCTCTGCCTCCTGGGCTCAAGTGATCCTCCCACCTCAGCCCCTCAAGTAGCTGGGACCACAGGCACCTGCCCACCATGCCAGGCTAATTTTTGTATTTTTTGTAGAGATGGGGTTTTGCCATATTGCCCAGGCTGGTCTTGAACTCCTGAGCTCAAGTGATCTGCCCACTTCGGCCTCCCAAAGTGCTAGGATTACAGGAGTGAGCCACCACACCCAGCCCCAAAAATTACTTCCTTAACAGATTTCTTGGCCAAAGCAAAATAAAAAGCTGAACTACTTAAAACTATCTTTTAGACCTCCCCTGCCCCAATATCACAGCTGAGACCTATTTCTTTTCCCCTACCCTATGCTCCTCCATCTCTGCCCTTTTCCCTACCTCGGGCCCTTTCCTCTTGGCTGGCTAAATACCCCAAAGCTCACTTAACTTCAGAATAGAAAAAAAAATAAATAAATAAAACTCTATGGGGGATTTTAAGCCCTGTTTTCATTTTTAGCTGAAAGCCCTTGTACAAAGGCCTAAATGGGACTTCGAATTGTTTTAGGAACATATAATCCAGAGCAGCCAGATTTATAGCAATTCATTTATATGCCAGTTGGAGCCTCAGATGCAAAACATTCGATGAAAAAGTCAGAATGGAAAACCCCCCAATGATTATTTTTTTATTTATTTTGTAGAGACAGGGTCTCACTAGATTGCCCAGGCTGGTCTTGAACTCCTGGGCTCAAGTGATTTTCCCGCCTCCTTTTCCCAAAGTGTTAGCATTATAGGCACGAGCTGCCATGCCTGACCCAACGGTGATTTCAAAGACCATGGATTGCATAGGAAGCTGAAGGGGTTTGGGGAAGCTGTGAATGTTAGTCAAGGTCTTTTGGAGGCTATCCTCAGTCTTCCCTGTGAAACCAAAATGTGCTCTAATTAATTCTTAGTCAAGAGAGAAGTCTGTTCAGCAGGTCATGGACTGAAGAGAAATACATATGTATATATGTAAAAGAGAGAAGTCTGATGGAGACTTCAGGGCTAGGTCCTTTACTATCTAGTGGCAGAATTCTGGAGTAGATCTTGAAGCGGATGTGATGGGATTCTTTTCTCTTTTTATGAATGGCCTTAAACCAGAAATAGGGGATTTATTATGCAAACAAAAACTAGAATGGGAAATAGCCCCATGGCCAGATCGCCAAAACCTCCTTGAACATTTTGAAAGAACCCTAGAATTAAGAAACTAAAAGCAAAAATCAAGTCACCGATGAAGGTGTTCAATTTCCCATTCTGCCTTTAAACCCATAAGGAAACATTTCTCTAAAACATAAAGGACAACTTACAAACTTGATGGATATAGGCACAAAATATCAATCTTAAACTTGATCACTATTATACCTTTTTTCCCTTAATATCAATACACTTCTTGGGTCATACGCCTATCTAATCATCCTCAACACAACTTCCCTAGGCCACAGCCTAAAACCGTGCCTCGGACCTTCAACTGAGGGGCATTCTCTTCTACTTTGTGACACTATACTTTAATAACTTAATAGAGAGGGATTCATTATGTGAATGGAGTTGCCACACGACATGCTCTCCTGAGGGTTTTTTCCTTCTAGTCCCTGAGGCCCTTCCTGTCCATAATAAGGTCATAGCTAATTTGGATATTGATTTATCAGTACTTTGGTGTGTAAATCACACATTAAGTTGAAGCTCTCTTACAGTCAAAAAATTCTACTGGCCCTGTGTGGTGGGTGGTTCATACCTGCAATCAAAGCACTTTGTAGGCTGGGCGGGGTGGCTCATGGCTATAATTCCAGCATTTTGGGAGGCCAAGGCGGGCAGATCATGAGGTCAGGAGTTCGAGACCACCTGGCCAACATAGTGAAACCCCGTCTCTACTAAAAATACAAAAATTAGCTGAGCATAGTGGTGCACGCCTGTAGACCCAGCTACTCGGGAGGCTGAGGCAGGAGAATTGCTTGAACCTGGGAGGCGGAGGTTGTGGTGAGCTGAGATCGTGCCACTGCACTCCAGCCTGGGCAACAGAGCAAGAGTCCGTCTCAAAAAAAAAAAAAAAAAAGAAAAGCACTTTGGGAGGCCAGGGTGGGAGGACCGCTTGAGGCTGGGAGTTTAAGACCAGCCTGGGCAACACAGAAAGATCCCATCTCTACAAACAAAATAATAAATTAAAAATAATAGTAAAATAAAATAAAAATTTTACTGATATTCTACAGGAGCTAAACCCATCAAGGTTCAGACTGACCCATCTAAATCCCTACCCAAAATTGTACAATAGCCTTTAAAACAAGGCACTAGAAAAGGAATAAAACTGGCTGGGCACAGTGGCTCAAGCCTGTAATCCTAGCACTTTGGGAGGCCGAGGGGGGTTCTTGTTCCTAGTTTTTTACACCCCTGAGAAATGTTGGTCATCAGAGGGCTGGGGTTTTGTCCCTACTGGAAAAATAGCTGTGCAGGGGTCAGGCGTGTGTTGAGGAACAGCTCATTATAAATGTGAGCCATGAGGACTGTTCCTCCCCACACTCCTTTATGCCCACACATATATGAGTGTTGGTGACCCCCTCAAAGAAACAAGCAGTGATTCCCTCTACAGTTGGTTCACTAGGTGCTCTACAACCTGGGGGCAGGGCTGGCAAAGGACTAGGAAAAAAGACACAGGAAGGGAGGTCTTATTTCTGCCAAGGTCGCCTCCCTCTTATCAACCCTGCTGTTCACTCCCTGCCTCAGGGCTGACTCCCAGGAATGCCAGGCGTGGGGCAAATCACAGTGTGTTCTCGGGTCACCCTAATTCACCCTCTCTCTCCAAGTGAAATCCGGTTCTGGTGACCATCAAAGGCAGCCAAAGAGTAACAAAAAGCCAGCTTGAGGAGTTGGCTGGAGTAAGCCAGGCGTTTACAAGCTGCTTGAGTAAACTGTCTCTAAATTCCAACTGCCAGAGCAGCCTCAGCTTCCCTTCATCTACCTCCTGGCCTCTGGCGGTTGAGAACAGTCCCCAGGTGCTCAGAGCAGCACCCACCGTTAGGAAATCCTGCCCACCAAACAAGGACTGGAGCTGCATTTAGAACCCGGAGAGCAGGGCCTCCACAGTGGAGTCGGGGGTCAGTGGGAACAGGAAGACTGTCTTCAGCTAATCACCCTGTGTGGCTTCATGTGAAAGGCCACATGGGAGCCTCTGCACTAGGAGCCTGGGTTCTGCTTGACATAAAAACCTTCCCTCGGTTACAGTTGTCCAAAAACACTTAGGGCAGTGGTGAAGACTCCAAAGGGAGGATGTAGAGCACCTTCTAACTCTTAGGAGTCTGCTCAAAAGTTTGCCCCGACCCTGCTGTCTTTTGGGTCTTCAGTCGACCATACAATATGTCACTTAAGTGCATTTTTGGTTTCAGATCTTGCTGTGGCTTCTCCCGCACTAGTCTGTGACCTGCGGAGGCAGCGGGGCCGGGCCCCTGTAACAAGTCTCCTCGCAAGGGTGGACCTCGGCGGGCCCCGCCCCGTAGTCCTGTGAACTTCTGGGCACCCCACAGCGCCGAGATTAAACCCTGCTAAGCGCTCCATAGAGCTTTGATCACAGTCTTAGACCAGGATGAAGAAATAAATAAATACCAAGTTGGTGAAACAGCCTAAAGCCTTTAAGAAATCCAGGGCAACTGAGATTCCACAGAGGACAGGTCAACGGGTCAGGGAAGTCAAGTTGGAAAGAGGAACTCCGCTAAAATAAGAAAATACAAATGCTCTCAGCAGAGGGGCGTCCAGAGAGTCGCGGGCCTGGGAACGGGCCTGGGTCCTCGCGCAGCAGGCCAGCTCCCAGGAGGCTCGCCGTCGGGGTTGGGGCCCGTCGGCCGGCCTCTCCCCATTTTTGTGACGTGTCGGGGGCAGCAGCGGTGACGGGGCTACCACACAAAGCCAGGTCGTCGGGCGGTGGTCTCCCAGGCCAAGAGCTCCGATGGGATGGGGAGGGGGCGGGAAGCGAGGCGCCCCCAGGCGCCCGGGCTCCGCGCGGGATTAAAGTGAGCTCGGACTCCGCGGCGGCGGCGGCGGCAAGGGGCGGGTACCCGGGCGTCCGCGAGCGCCCGTCGCGCGCCTGGCTGCTGTGGCCGCGCTGGCAGCCAGCGAGCCGGGCTCGCCGAGGCCTCACCACGCCCCCGCGGGGGTGGAGCCGCGGCCAGGGGCGGGTCCGCAGCTGGCGGCGCCGGGGCCCGGGGCGGAGGCTGTGGCAGCAGCTGCAGCGGCGGCGGCGGCGGCAGCGCCAGGAGCTGCTGCAGCAGAGGCGGAGGTTGCTCCTGTACGCGTCCGGGCAGCTCAGCCGGAGCCGCAGCCCGGAGGCGCCGGGCGGTGCGCTGGGTGCTGCTGCTGCCGGCCCTCCGCCGCCCGGGCCCCCGCTGCCGCCCGGGCCCCGGCTGCCGTCTGCGCCCCCGTCAACCCTACCCGCGAGTGCGCCCCAGCCGGGACGCCGCCCCCGGCCGGGTCTCCACTTCTTGGCCGCACCTTCCATGACAGCGCCCGCGAGAAGATGGCTGCGAAGGGCGCGCACGGCTCCCACCTGAAGGTGGAGAGCGAGCTGGAGCGCTGCCGCGCCGAGGGCCACTGGGACCGCATGCCGGAGCTGGTCCGGCAGCTGCAGTCGCTGAGCATGCCCGGCGGCGGAGGTAACAGGCGAGGCATCCCGAGCGCAGCGTTCACCTTTCCGGACACCGGTGAGTGAGGGAAGAGGCTGGCTCGCCGGCAGCTAGCGCGCGAAACGCACCGCCTCCTTCAGGAAGCGCGCCTAGACCGTCCTCGGCCGGCAACGGGCGTCCACTCGCCCACCGTGCTGGTCTTAGGAGCAGCCAGGGTAGTTAAGAAGGTCCTTCTGCCGCGAGAGAAAAATCACATGTAGTTTGGGGGCTTGGAGGGAAGAGAAACGGCTTTTCCTCTCTGTCCTTTAGGATAATGTGGCTAACTCTGTCTACCGTGAAATGGTGGTATCTGCACATTATGAGATCAGTGCATTGGCTGGACTCTTGCCCCCCACCGCGGTCCGAGGGTGGGGTGTCCCTAAACTCCAACAGGTGAAGTATGTCTGTCTCGTCTTTGTTTATAGTTCTTGCAAGTAAAGTTGAAAACGGAGCTCTGTCCGCAGCAGACAGGGGCGAGGGTTTGACGAACCCCAGGGTGGGGTGGTGGAGAAATGGGGAAGAGGCTTGGCCAGCCTCAGTTTTCTCATCTGTGGCGATCTCGGGACACATCCAACTCTGGCAGTTGGTGGCTTTAGCAGTAGGGCTGGTTTGGCTGGGCCGGGCTCTTGTGCTGGGGCGGGAAAGCACCCTGATGTGGCAGCGGGGAACACCCCGCCCCAGCCTCTAACCTCAGATCCTGTTCCTGGGGCCTTCACCTCACCCTCCCTGAGTCCTCTCTGTGGGCACAATCACTTAGGAGGCTTTGTGGAAGGAGGCAAGAAATAAATGAATACAGATATAGGTTTTAAAGACTGCCCAGCCTGTGGAAGGCTCTGAGAGTGACAGATCGTGATAGTAATAGTAATAGTCAACACTTATCTCGTGCTTCCTGTGTGCCAGACACTGTCCTGAGCCCTTTAATCAACCCCGTGAAGCAAGTACTCTTGTTTGTCCCACTTTACAGATAAGGAAACTGAGGCACAGAGCAACTAAGTAACTTGATCAGCTAAGCAGTAAGTTGTGGAACCAGGATTTGAGCCCAGGTTTTGAGTACATCCTTTAAATCACTTGCACTATTACCTCTCAAAGATGTACAGCACAAAATCCCTGTCCTTGAAGAGCTCCCACAGTGGCAAGAAAGTGATTGGAGGGCAATTGTTTGTGGGTTTTTTGTTGTTGTCTTTTGGGTTTTTTTGTTGTTTGTTTTTTTTTGAAGCAGGGTCTCTCTGTTACCCAGGCTGGAGTGTAGTAGTGCCATCTCAGCTCACTGCAGCCTCGACTTCCTGGGTTCAAGCCAGGCCTCCCAAGTGGCTGGGACTGCAGGTGGTGGCTACCATGCCGGGCTAATTTTTGTAGTTTTAGTAGAGACGGGGTTTCGCCATGTTGCCCAGGCTGATCTCCAACTAGGCTGAAGCATTCCGCCTACCTGGGCCTCCCAAAGTGCTGGGATTACAGGCATGAGCCACTGTGCCTGGCCACTTTCTCTATTTTCTATATTCTTGTGAACAACCCTATTAGGAGGGCAGGAGTTATTGTCCCCATTTTAGACATAGGGACACCAAGGCCCGGAGAGGTCACATAATGTGTATGTGGGAAAGCCTGTACTCAAGCCTGAGTCTCTGCCATGAAGTCTCTTAGTGTCAGAGTTGGGGATGTGGACCCTGGGCTGGCTTCACTGTGGAAACTGGCTAGTATAAGGAAGGACATGGAGGGTCAGCGGGGTCTCTCCTGCCAGTTTTGGAGTCTGTGAATGATTTTTCTCCCACTGTTAAATCCAGATACACTATCACAAAGCATGCACTCACACTGGGACATGTAGTCATACACGCATATGCACACACAGAAACATGAGGAACAAAAACAAATGCCTCCCAAAGCCCGTGCTTAGAGCGTTGTTTGGATTGACTGCTGTTTTGGTCCTTTCTCTACAGGGTTCCTTGATCACTCAAGGGATTGAGAGCTTGTTCTTTTTTGGGATTTGATGCAGACTCCCCTGCATCCCTGAAGGGAGATTCTTCACATCCCACCTGGCCTGTTTGACTCTTACGAGTCAGCGATCTGAAGCTTCCACAGTTACAGAATTGGGAGAGGTTCTGAGACTGGGGGTTGAAACCCGTTTTACTGAGGCCTTGAGGTCCAGCGGTGTCTGGTATTTCCCACAGAAATGAGAAGTAGCTCCCAGAGGCAGATGCAGGGAGCAGAAGGGGAAGATGAGCTGTGGGGACTCTTTCTGATATGGGAGGATGAAAGATCAGTAGATGCTTCAGCAAAATAGGCCTCTGTACCCTTTTCCTGTCTGAGGTTGCTCCTTGCCACCCAGCCAGGGGGAAGGTGCTTGCTACTGTCTTCTCACTCACATCCGGTCTAGATTTGGTCAGGATGGAGCAGGGGAACCCCAGAGTCCTGCTTGCTGTGCTGGGGTTTGTTCATATAAAAACAAAGTTCCCATCCGAGTGATTAAAAAACAACTTTATTATGAAGAATTTTCAAAACATTAAAGAACATGAAAGAATGAGTCCCATGTATCCATCAACCAACTTCAGTGATACGAACTCATGAAGTCTCATCTGAGCTATACTCAACCCATTTCTCCTCCACATTTCAGTTTTTCAGTATGTACTTGTTAAATAAGATCTCTGGTTTTTTGGTGTTTTTTTTTGTTTTTTTTTGTTTTTTTAGAGACAGGAACTATCTCTTTCACCCAGACTGGAGTTCACTGGTATAATTATAGCTTACTACACACTCAAACTCCTGGGCTCAAGGGATCCTTCCACCTCAGCCTCCTGACTAGAAAGAGGGGCAGACTGGGCAACAAAGTGAGACCCATCTCTACTCCCCATCCCCTCCGAAAAAATTAGCTAGGCATGGTGGCACACACTTGTAGTCTCAGCTGTTTGGGAGGCCAAGACGGGAGGATCACTTGAGACCAGGAGTTCGAGACCAACCCAAGCAACATACCTCAGGCACACATCAGCAAACCCAGCTAATTTTCAAATTTTTTTATAGAAATGGGGTCTTGCTATGTTGCCCAGGTTGGTCTCGAACTCCTGTGCTTAAGCTATTCTCCTACCTCGGCCTCCCAAAGTGTTGAGATTTCAGGCATGAGCCCCCACACCCAGCAATAAAAACTCTTTTTAAAAATATAGCCACTGTACCATTATTATACCTTACAAAAAATCTAACAATTACATTTTACAATTAGTTTATTAGAGTCAGGATCCAAATTAGGCCACACATTGCACTTGATTGTTAGGTTAGGTCTCCGTACCCCACCCAATATTTTGTTATGAAAATTTCAAATATATAGTAAAGGTCAAAAAGAATTTGCAGTGAACACCTGTGTACCTATTAACCTTTTGCTGTGCTTGCTTTATTACATATCTGTTCTCTACCTATCCATCTTGAGACTTTCTTTTTAATTTTTTTTTTTTTCTTAGAGACAGGGTCTTATTCTATCATAGCTCACTTCAGCCTGGGCTCAAGTGATCCTCCTGCCTCAGCCTCCCAAGTGGCTGGGATCACAGGTGTGTATGCTACCACACCCATTTTTTTTTTTTTTAGATGGAGTCTTGCTCTGTTGCCAGGCTGGAGTGCAGTGGCAGTGGTGTGATCTCGGCTCACTGCAACCTCCGCCTCCTGGGTTTAAGCAATTCTTCTGTCTCAGCCTCCCAAGTAGCTTGGACTACAGGTGCACACCACCACACCCAGCTAATTTTTGTATTTTTAGTAGAGAGATGGAGGTTTAGCATGTGGCCAGGATGGGTCCTCTATCTGTTGACCCCATGGTCCAACCCGGCCCGGGCCTCCCCAAAGTGCTGGGGATTACACGGTGTGAGGCCCCACCCAATGCGCCCAGCCTACCCGTTAATTTTTTTTATTTTTGGTTAGGACAGGATTCCATATGTGCTCCATGGTGGCTGATTGTTGAAACTGGACTCAAGCCATCTTCCTTGGCCTTGGATTCCCAAAAGTGCGCTGGGGATATATAGAGTATGAGCCCACCATGCCCTGGCCTTTGAATTTCTGCCGAATCTGTAAGTTCACCCCACCCCAACCGCCCTGCTTTTTTTTTCTGTCTCCTTAGACTGGGAGATTGTTTTGGAACATTTCTTCAGTTTCGGTTAAAAGCGGGTTTGTTCTGGAGGCAGAATGGCCTTCTTGCTTAGGTTTTCAGTCTTTTTCCTCTGGGCTGTGGGTTGCATGGTCCCAGGCCCATTATAGTCACCTGGGAGAGGTGAGCAGCTGCAGAAAACCACTGTGCCCCCGTGTTTGTTCCAGCGGGGAAGGGGGCCCGGTCTGAAACCCTGGGGCCTGGCTGGCTAGACTAGGCGTTTCCTGACTGTGAATGGGTGGGGGTTGTGGAAAAGGGGATCACTGTCATTCAAAACATGGCGGTTCGTTGAGGGTGCCCCTGGTGACCTGGCACTCTTGGGAGGGCCTGGAAGGGGATGGTGAGCTGGGAAGGGGCTGTAAGGAAGGTAGGACTGAGCCTTCCCCAAACACGGATGGGGTTGGGAGGACTAGGGGTGGCCAGGTAACGTTGGGGCTTTGGGACTTTTGCGGAGGTCAGGGTTTGCTGGAGGCAGGGCTGCGGGAATCCAGCACAGGGTCGGATTCACTATTGGGTCTGGA